TGAACGAATCGAACACCTGATATGTTTAATAAAGACGTAAACATTCTATACCATATATGTTTAATATGGCCATAAAATACTAATTTAATTAAAATATAATAACGGTCTTGGTCCACTAAACGAATCGTATACCTGATATGTTTAATATAGATGTAAATATTATACCATATATGTTTAATATAGTCATAAAAGAACTAATTTAATTAAATGTAATAATGGTCATGGTCCACTGATGAATCGTATACCTTATGTCTAGATGGCGTTAATCGCTTAACCAATCTGTGAAATACAATAAAATAATCCAAATACACTGGTCGCTTAAGAGATTTCATTTCTCGCTTAAGCGATCCTGTATTTAGACTTAGTCGCTTAAGAGATGTGGTTGTATTTGTTATCGCTTAACGATTCTATGCTTTTACACTTGGTCGATTAAGCGATCATAGATCGCTTAAGCAATCACGAACAAGACAGAATCAATATGCTCAACGCACGATCGCTTAGCGATTTATCTATCGCTTAAGCGATCCTTTGCTTTTAACCTTGGTCGCTTAAGCGATTACAAATCGCTTAAACGCTCATGTCCGAGACAGAATAAACTTCTGCCTAGATGCACAATCGCTTAACGATTAAGTATCGCTATACTATTGGTCGCTTAAGTGATCGCTTAACGATCATGAACAAGACATAAATAAGTGTCCAGATGCAGGATCGCTTAAGCGATTCTTCGTTTTTACTGTTGGTCCTTAAGCGACCGTAGATCGCTTAAGCGATCTTCGTTTTTACTGTTGGTCGCTTAAGGCACCGTAGATCGCTTAAGCGATCATGAACAAGACAATAAATAATGCCAGATGCATGATTGCTTAACATCATTTGCTTTTAACGTTGGTCGCTTTAAGCGAGAATCGCTTAACGCATCATGTCCGAGGCAGAATCAACTCTGCCCAGATGCACGATCGCTTAAGCGTCTAAAATCCTTATACCAATCGCTTAAGCGATCCTTTTGCTTTTACTCTTGGTATGTCCAACGCTTGGAATTTGCGTCGGCATCCTCCTCTTCAGTTTCAATTTCAACTCTTGCCCTTCCTGTTCCGCCAATAGAATGTCTTCCGTCGACGCCGTCTCCTCTCCTGGTGGAGCAACTTCAGTCATCGAAAGTTACTCCACACAACTTCTTCATCTCCATTTTTGGTAGACCCAGTGTTGCCTACAATTGGGAGTAGATGGTTTTTTTTTTTTTTTTTCTGCTTCTTTAAGGATCTCATCCATTATAACTTAATCAGGAATAGCAAGGAATGACAAAAATGCAAAAAGCAAAGAAATTGAGAAATTGCAGAAAATTGGAAGAAAAAACGAGAGAGAGAAAGGTGTTTTGAATCCTATTGTGAAAAGAGAAGCTGAGAGAAATGTGTTTTGCCTTTCAAATTTTAAATCAACTTCTCTTTATTATACTCTAACCCACAAATGTTTAAATCTTTTCACCCTAATCTTTTTTGCTGCTTTAATTACACTTAAGTTGCCACATCATATTTTTTAACCTAAAAAAAATCAAAAAGATTTCGGGCCATTTTGTTAAATGGAAACTTGGGATGGCTAGGCAGCTAAATTTCTCTTTTGAACCCACTAAAACTCTTTCTAAATCTCATTGTAAATAAAATTAGGGAAATTATTTTGAGCCCCACAATTCTACTCTAAGTGAGAGTATAATTGTAATAAAAAAATTTTTCTCCTTACTTTATTTCAAAGCTTTGAATTTGCAGTTAACCAAAAAAAAAAAAAAAAAAAAAAAGATTCATCAGAATTCAAAATTTCCTAAGTAAATTGCAGCTTATTTTATTAATTATCAAAAATACTTGAATGTTCTTTATTTTCAGATCTCATATTCTTCTAGACATAAAGAAAACAAGAGTACTGTTTGAACTTCTTTAGGAGAGTTTTTTATTAGTTTATTTCTTCTTTTTTAATTTTTTATTTTCTATCCTAAATTTTATATTTTGAAGAACTGTTACGAATTATTTGTTTAAATGGAAAAATGATTATTCAGCAAGAAATTACTAGAGTATTTATGTCCATGAAGTATTGGATGAGAGTGAAGAAGCTATATTCAATAATTTTCTTTGGTTCTTAAACTTTCTTTGAAAGTTTTACAGGGACGAACCTCAAATTCCATCCAAAATTATTATTATTATTATTATTATCTCCATTATTATTATTCTTTTCCAATTATTATTATTCAGTTACTCTCTACTTATTATTATTATTATTATTATTATTATATAAAAATTAATTCATCATCTGTGTGTCCACAAAATGGAAGATACTGAAGATATTATGTATATGTTAATTAAATATAACCTAAGAGCTAGAAGTTAATTTTGATAATAAATAGATATGATAAATAATTATTTTCTAAGTTTTATTTTATATATATATATAACAAATAAATTGTAATATATATATATATTTGTTAATATTTATCTAATAAATTAGTTATATTATAATGTTTAAGGACAAACATTCTACACAAAAATTAACTAAACATAAAGAATTTTACAATTTATTTGTTAATTTATAATAAGGAGAAAAATGATTCTGTATTATATTAAAGTGGTCGTATTATAATTATTTCTTATATAATATTTTATTATCCTTTGTTTGTGATTTTCTGGCGTGGCTTTTATTTTATTAACGCGTGTAAAATTCACAATCGTATATATAAAGGCTAGGACATGGGCTGCAAACTGGGCCAGTTGGGTTAGATTAAATGGGCCGGCCCAATATAATTCAAGTTAACTAGGCATTTTGGTATAATTATATTGTAAGTTAGGGTAGCGTTATATGAGATCTACTAAATTTTTTTTTAAACCTTATTTTATATAAACTTTACTTTTAAAAAAAAAAATTATTTCAAAATCACCCTTTTCTTCTTCCTCTCTTATTCATCTATCTTTTAATGGGATTATAAATATTATTTGATGTTGTAAACAAAAAAAAAAAAAAAAAAAAAATGTATCCGTTCAATCACTTTGGAAGTGTAGATTACAGGCGCTCCAGTATATGCATTTATCTAATCATATGATAGTTTAGGACCTTTAGGTCACATACACTGACCTAGTTTAACTTATTGAACAGATATACATACGTCCACTATTTTTCATTTGTTACTGGAGGTGTCCAAGTCAGTTTACGCGCATCTCAATTAATCCCTCAACCCCAAACAAGGTAAGCTCTACGATCCGTGGCCAACAATATTAACAACCGTTCTTGTGATTCGGAACCTAAGATCACAGGAGTAGCAAACCTCTTGGCCCTAAGTCTTTACCACTCCACCAACCCATTGTTGGTTATATGTTCATTTTTACTGGAAAACTTTTTGTAACTAAATAATCATATATGTATCCGTTTGATCACATCACCCGTGTAGGTCATACGTACTTTAATATATTCATTTTTCTAATCATGTGATACGCTAACTTTGTTTAACTTATTGAATATATATATATACACGTTCATCGTACTAAAGATTTTTCTCCTAACTTAACATCATATATTATGACAAAAGCAAAGTGATTACGATATTGAAAAATGTTTTTAAGTTTGGGAACCCATCTTAGGTAAGTGATTAGGATTAGAAAATGTTTAATATTTGGGAAGTAATCTTTGTAACCCAAAAGATTAAGAAAGCTTACTTGCCCACAACCACAATTAACATAAATTAGTTAATCTTATACTTAATTATTAATTAATGAAATCATAATTTGTTATTTGAAACATTAGTCTAACCACATTGACTATTGTAACAACCAATCACACGTTTTTGACTTAATCATTTGCCTTTGCCCATAAACTTCAAGAATTGACACAATAATAATTAATAGGGTTTAAATAAATAAATAAAAAAGGTTGAATATAAATTTTGTTACACCAAATTTCACTACATAAAGATATAATTCAGGAATTAAGAGGAGATACTTGTAAAATCCTCTCCCTATTTAGAAACATTTTTTATTTCTTAAATTTCTCACTACTTATTAAATCTGTTATTTTAATAAATTATTATGAGGTCTATTGTTGAATTTGTACCCCGAAAACAAAATTAAATAACTAAGAGAAATTTAACAAAAAAACAGAAATTGAAACGTGTTAAGAAAAATATTTGGTGACTGATTTTAACTTAAAAATCGTTGAAAACTTATTATATCTCTTATTTAAAAATTGAATTTAAATTTATATCAAATAGTTCCAACCGTAAATTAAAAATAATGATTAATATACCAATCACAAAATATTATTGGTAAATAAAATCCTTCGCAATTTAGGATAAGTGAGATTGGAGTCGGCAAGAATTGGATAGATCCATAACAGAAGAGAACGTCACAACTTGACAAAGCATGTTAATGGCTTTAGAATCCAGAAAAACCACAAGCAAATTATATAACAGATTTGAGTTTAATTTTTTTAATAGATTCATTCAATAACCCCTAATTCTAAATGGATTAATATTCAAACATCAAAGTCTCTGAATAATTTTAATTTGACTTCAAACCCTATGACAGCTACATCAGTGACTTTTTCTTGAAGAAACTTTTAATTTCTACCAAATTTGTTCTTCCCCAGTTACATGTTAAAACCACCTAATTTATCAACTACTGTTTCTCCACGTAAAACACACTGCCTTCCTACCCACCTGCAAAGTCTTGAGTTGAGTGACCCCACTATTGATAAAATTGTCCCTCCTGTAACCCTTGGATTTGGAATCCAGAGGCTGAGATGTTCCAAGAAAAAGGAGAACAAAAGTTGATGTAGCCCTAGTAACACAGCTTTATTGTTTTTTGGTCTAAAGTTGTCAATACCACGTTCACATCATACCATGCATTGCAATACAATTCTTATCTTGTTTAAAGCACTAATTGCCTTTTAAAGATGAAAAAGTTCTTACACTTTGAAACCCTAATCCCACATTTTCTTTGGTTCAGCACACGGAAATGAAGCCTGTGGCCACATTGCGAAAAAAAAAGAGTCTTGAATAGCCAGCTCTCCAAGCCAAGAAAAAATTGCTCCAAATATGTCCCATGCTTGAAGTTGAACCATTGCAAAAATATGTACAGGAGCAATTCAAGCCAAACACAAATAAGGTTCCGATAAATTCAACACCAATGACTTGAAGTGATCCGATGTAGCTTTCCCGGAGGTTTATGTGTTTGTCGATTGCGACGGTATCCTCGGGTGGTTATGTTCGCCTTCATAGGTAACAATAAGCATGGATGGATCTTCCAAGCACCTCTCCACATGCTTCCTTGCAGGACAGCCTCTCATGCTGCTACATTTATAGTATCCCCTGCACACATTAAACAAAAGGCTTCAAATTTTAACAATGTTTCTTGATAATTAAGCTTGAAAATGACATTTCTTTAAACAAGGTTTACCAAATACACTTTGAATTGCACCTACATTGTTACAGATAACCAAACTCTGCTATGAAAACAAACTTCCCCATTTGACCCCAACAGTTTTGTTTGAATATCCATAGCAAGGCAATAATCACTTCAGTAAAAATAAAGCCACCACCTAAAACCATTCAAATAGCGACTGCTCGACATTATACCTACTTATAATTCAACGGTAACAACTGGCACAATAGTAATAGCATAACTACTTACAAAGGCACAAACAATTCAGCCCAAGTTACCAACCACAGAAAGTCTTCCCACACTTTGAGTGTGCATTAACAGAAAGAGAGGAAAAAAGAAAAAGTTTTCTTCATTTATCAATCTTCAACGCTTTCCCTAGAAAAGCACTATTTTTTTCTTAATCAACTAACATTTACCATATTAAATCTTTCATTTCCAATTAGAAGTTGATACATACACATCATACCATAGAACAGTAATTAGAAAGCAAATTCCGATGGAAAACTCATAGAAGCATACAGCAAAATGACCAAAAAAAAGAAAAACACCTTTCTAGGCGTCATTTGCAATACCACCAAATCTCAAAAATGAGAAATTGAATATACCTAGGGTGAGGAGAGCCCTTAATTGGCTTCTGTCCATACTTCCTCCAAGAATAATCATCGGGAGGGATATCAGCAAGCTTGTTGCTGATAGCAGGCACCTTGATGGACCTCTTCACTCGATGTTTCCTGTCGATAGAGTAACCAATGATGCAAAATATAAGATAACAGATCAAACACATACATTAAATAAAAAAAGTGAAGATATTATTAACAAGAAATAACATAAACAAGGAAGGAAGTTAACCTCTTCTTTGAGCAGTGGCACCTGCCACTGCTCCCACATTTCACACTCCCATCTTCCCCCCTTCCAGAACACTTCCTCTTGTGTTGTTGTGAACTCTGATCTGAAGAACGAGGTGCACCAATTAAATGGAAGGGACTGCCGTCCAAATTAGCCACACTTCCTTCCATACTCAAGGAAGAAATAAAAGACCTAGTGGATGACATAGTCGGTGTGCAGCTAGAGCTATCAAAATTCAGGTTCACTCCACTGTTACTCTTTCTAAACATCATTTCAGCTTGAAGTTTCAACTGCTGCTGCTGAAGATGTAACCTTTGTTGCAGTTGTTGTTGTTGTTGTTGTTGTTGCTGAATGAAATGGTAGTGTGATGAAGGTGTTTGTTGTGCAAGTTGGAGAGGGTTTTTCCCATTTGACATCAGTTCTAGAGATGGATTCCCCAGAGTTAAAGAACTTTTAGCAAGCGCCCCCATTTCTTGAACTTGGTTTTCATGGAAACTAGACTGGAGAAACTTTATATTCTTAGGTGGATTATCTGTTGTTCTATTGAGAGGATTATCTAAAAGGATCGATTGGTTAAGTGGGGTTGGCAATTTCTTGAGCTTTCTTACTCTAGCATGACCCAAACCAGTATTGAGTAGTGAAACAACTCTTTTAAACCTAAAAACAGCTTCTCCAGTTTCTACCATTAAATTCCTACACTTAAGCTGATCTTGGGGCTGAGACAGTAAACTTAAAACTCTGTGGCAGCTCTCAACAGCTACCTTGTTAGCTTCTTCAACCTCCTCCATTTTAATTTCTATCCCCTCCAAAAAAGAAAAAATATACCCTAATTACCCAAACCCAAACCAAAACACCGCATAAAAAGGCTAAAGGTCTCAACTTTTACTACAAAAACAGATCCTTAGCTCAAAAATGAAGAGTCCATAAAGTCAATTAGCCATTTGTAGATAAACCAAAGACACCCAACAAGGTTTTGAAAACAGAAAATTTAAGAAATTGAACTCCTCAAACGCTTAAATTTGCAAACAAAACAAACCCAGAAGATTAGATTCAAGTGGGTTTACCAAAAAAATAAAAAATAAAACGAAAAACAGAGACCCAGATAAGGAATCCAACACAGAAAGAAAATCTAAGAAAATATGACCAAAAAAACACAGACCTTTGTTGGACTTGGTGGTATCAAACCCTAGATTCTTCCAGTCCCATGGTTAACAGATAGGAAGGTGTGAAAGAGAAGACTTTGGTTCGCTTGAGAATTCACACCTCCATAAGAATACAAAACTCTCATTTCTTTAAAGTTATTATAATAATGATGAAAATTAAACCATGAACTAAAATTTCAGAGAGAGGAAAAAGAACACCAAGATAGAGAGATATATAAAACAGATTATTTTTTATTTATTCTGTAGCAGAGAAGAAGAGAGAGAGAGAGAGAGAGAGAGATGAAACTGCCGTCTCTGTCACAGATTTGAGTGTGGGTCCTACACCAAAGACCTTGGTTATTCTTCTTTTATTTTGCTTTAATTAAAGCTTCTTTAATAAGACTGAGTGGAGTACTGTACTGACATTTGGCCATCCCTAAGGTTTAGACAAAATACCTTTTTGTCTATTATAATTACAAAGTAACATCTTAATCCCTAAAATCAGACTCGGTGAAAAATATTAAGACGTATTAGATTATATGGTGTAGAATAGAGAAATAATTTCTGACTACAATCTATTCAACCATTCATGTATGAGCTTCTAGCTATGGGTGACAATTTTTCACACAATAGGCCAACAAACACAAATTCAACACGATTTAAACGGATTGCGATTGATCTTAATCATATTCATATTGCCGAACTCAACCCATAAACATATTTAGTAATACATTAATTAAACATATTGATAACACATTATGACTCAATTAATTGTTTATCACATAATTTTTCGCTTATAGCATAGTTTAAATAAGTTGAGTTTTATATAACATAAAACGTCAACTCCTTTGGTCATTTCTAATTCCAACATAAATATAATATCACTATTAAATAGAAGAAATAAATAAATTTAACCCACATAAATTATTTAATAACGATTAACAATCAAGTCACAACATGATTTAATGTGTTAATAACACATTTAATCCACAAATATTACCTTTAGTGGCTTTTTAACATGTTTAATTTGATTGCCTATTTGAATAATGGTCCCTTAGATAGGGTTCAAAGTACTACTTTTTTATTTTCGTGGACCATAGGGTCGTAGCTTAAATCTTCAAGACCTAAAATAATTGCGTCTTCTAATTTTGGAGAGATATTTTGTAATGCGAATGTCATTTACTTGACTTAGAGAGTTAGACAGAGTGGAGTTGGTTAAGAGCTGAGTTGGACTCACCTTTACTTTCTCACTATCACTGATTATAATTACTCCTAATTAATCTCCCTTTCCACTTTCAAACATGACCTTGAAATATGGTATAATAACAAAAAGTTATCCTAAACTTTTCGAAATAACAATTGTTTTTTCTATTTTTAATTAATACCTTAATTAACTATTAAAATTTATATTATTATAAGTTAGAAAATATTATCAAATTATTTTCTTACTGTTTATTTTAACAGTTTTATTGTTTATTTTAACATTTAAAACTTAAGACAGTGCGCATTTTTGTTATTTAAAAAGATTTTTGTTATTATCTCATATATCAGCAGGATTTAATATCATTAATTCTCTCAATAATTCTATGTACTTTATAAAACAATCAGTTATGAATGTTAATCCTTTATCACCTAATTTGCACTTATTATTATTATTATCTTAGATGTTAGTTTTCTATTTTTTTAATTGCTTTTACCCTCAAAACTTATTCAAGTGCATTCAACAAAAACTTAGGCTATAATTTGTATTTTGGTGTTAAAATGGATTTATAAAGGATAATGAAAAGTTCGATTTCCTGTTATTAAAATATGAAAACGTGTTTATTATCAATTTTTTTAAATATAAAAATGAAAACAGTAAAAACCCATTTATTTACTAAAGCAAAAAATGAAAGAAAAAAAATATTTTCCCAAAATTGAAATTAAGAAAATATTTGAAGAATTATTATTAATTTTTCTCAAAAAAATCATTTAATAAAAAAGAGCACATGAGGTGAAGTAACGTAACAATAAATTGCACGCAATGGAAGTCAAAGTTGTTAAAGAATTAAGAATAAAAAAATAAACAAAAGAAATATTTATTGGAATATTAAAATTAACCCTAAAGTCTAAACAATTGGCAAGTCAGCTAACAAGAACAAAACAAACAAAATACTGTGTCGTTTTACCTTGCTTTCTTCAAGCCTCCGCGGCTTGATCATACCAAAATGTCCGCCACTTGTAGGACCCACATTAACCAGGTACTCGAATAGCCGTTGAGATCACTGGCCAATATCATTCCTGCACGTGTCAATTTGAGTAACCCCTAAAGTCTGACACGTACCCCGATGTCATGTTTTTGTTTGACTGCTAATTGCCAAAGTCCGCCATTTTACTAACCTGCGCGGAGGGAACACTGTTAGGTCGGTGATTGACAGGCTCATGGGACCCACCTGGTCCCACAGCCGTTGACTTCTTAAGCGTACCTAACCTCGGCCTCGCTTCTCTCTCTCTTAATAATATAATTTAATTATAAATAATTAGGTAAATAAATATTAGTTATTTATTTATTACAGTACAAGATTTTGTATGAAGTAGAAATGGAGCAGCTGGTTTATGACCAGATTTTCAATTAATGTAAACACCGGTTTTATTTTATAATTGGATAAGCATTACACGTATGAAAGGATTAACTTTTCATAAATTAAGGGTAAATTTTGTAATAAATTTGAAATCGGTTATGCCTCCAAAATTAGGGCTAATGTCAACCTATCTCAGTAAGTGTCAATCAGAGTTCAGAAAAATTTTATATCGTTTAAAAGCTACCACATCGCTCCATGACAGAAAGAATATGGTTGTCATCAACTTAACAGATTCATGTTTTATCTATGAGTGATAGAGGGTCGCGCACTTGTCCAAGCCCCAAGTAATTTGAGGATATCTCTTAAGTTATCAGTCAATAGGAGGCAATGAATGACTTATACGACAGCTGTCCACTTGCAGATATGTTATCATTATCTTAAATTCCTCTAAAGGACTCTCCCTCTCATTTTCGAGATTCTGATCTTAAAACCTCATTCTACTTATAATCTTTATTTTCAGAGCAAAGACAACCTACGAAAAGAGATTGACTTGATATTCTCTCTGAATATTAAGTTATTGTATATTTACTCATTGTTTACTATACGCGACCTCTTGTAATCTCTCATATATAAAAGAAACAATGGACATATGATTCGCTTTAAGCATTCGAACCACTTTAAAATTCATCTCTCATTTATTATTTAGTCTTTGCATTCAATTCTTCAAATCATTCACGTGTAATTTCTAAGAGCAGTTTAAGATTTTACACGTGCAAGTCATTGGTGTCAAAATCACCTATCAACTAAATAAAAAAGCTAATCACGTCCAAGTCCATGCTAATTAAATAAGTGATGGTCTGAAGAATTTGTTTTAAGCATGTGCATAAATGGCGCTTTACAGTTCATTTAACTAATTGTTTTTTATTGTAGATTGACTCCATTGTATGTATACACATGGGATTTGGGATTTACTTAAACTTTATCCTAAAACAAGAACTTCCCTTAATAAAGTTGCATTTTGTATCATCTCTTATCCCCATATCACTTTAATTTACAATTCCATAATTTTATACCACTTATTAGCAACTAATATCTATTTGATTGAACTCAAGATTTAATAATTGATACCAAAGTGAACTAATTATCAATAAAATGAGTGTGACGATCTCACAAGAAAGTAAGATCTATGAAATGAAAAATTTGTCATATGAAAGAATTTGAGATTTACACATTTTTTATGAATGATACTTGCCATAAACCTAAGAACAAATTTGTAGAGTTTAGGACTAAAGCGAACAATCTCTACTTGGTTAGACTCAAGATTTGTCTACTAACAATAATTTTATAGTAAATGAAATCTTAGATTAAGGAATTAAAAAGTTGTAGAGGCACATATTTTGAAATTGAAAATTTTTTGTTTTCTAGGAATAAGATCTGGAATTTGGAATAAAGAAAATAGTGATAGGGAGTAGCCCCACCAATAGTGGAGTCGATAAAGAAAGTGAAACAATGCATTTTGTCTTAGCTTATGGCCACCAGAAACATTCTGTCCATCTGTCCAACTTTAATTCAAGAGAATATTTTCCCAGTTTATTATTATTATTTTACCTAGTGTTATTGTTAACATAAATATTCTTGGAGAAAAAGAGGTGGGAATTTCGTACGCTTTTACGACAAATGGACTTTAAACTTTAACTTTAGAGACTAAAGCATGAAAAAAGTAGAGAGAATGCATTGGGATCTGAGGAATGAGCAGTAATATATCTGAAAGATGTGGAGAAAGGTGAAAAATGAAGAGGGTGTGAAGAGTGTGGATTTGGGGTGTGTTGTTTAGAATGAGATAAAAATTATACACCAGAAAATCAAAGTTAAACACACCACCTTGGATCGGAGATGATGAATGTTTTGGTGTGAAGTTAAAAACAAAATCTGAGGAGATAATCAAAATGGCCTCGTGCTTATGCATGCTTTGCCTTTGCCCTATCCTATTGGCTTTTTTGCTCTAGCTATACTGGCTGTTTGTGCTGTGCTGCACGTGTTTGTTTAGAGGAATCATTTGGATGTATTGCTTTTTAAGTTCTGATTTTGCAAAGACTTATGCCATCCACACGGTCCTAGTCCTACTACTTCTATGATTCTATCTCATCCAAAACTTCATTGTCCAATCACGTTCATAATAGTTCATATTAGCGTACGTGATGATTTGTATGTGTGTAATCATATGATCATTCAAATTAAAACTTTATCAAATATTAATGTGATTGGATGGATATACATACTTACATAGATCCACCAATTTCATTAAAAGCTTTCTCTAATCTCATTGTTCAAAAGTAAACGATTTATTTGAAACCTTCTTTAATCTTATTATTTGAAAATAAACGATTGAATTGTAGAACATGGAATATTTATAGGTTATATACACACACACACACGTATATGAGGAATTAGAGTGTCCATTCATGACCGAATAATGATCCTACTTTCATAAGCAGTTATGTGGTTTCAAACATGATCAGATGCAAAAGCCAATCGATTCAAGAGAACGAAAGAGATGAGCGTAGAATTTATTTGCTATTAAACACTGTATATGTGGTTTAACTGATGCTCAAGTATAATAACTGATTTAGGATTCATTCACACTTTAGACATTTTTTTCATGTTTAAGCCCCATTTTCATGTTGATTATGCCTTAAACGTGATACTTACAACGATTTTCTTTATACTTTTGATTAGATTAAGAATTTAAACAAAAATGAACAATAAGAGTGGTCCAAAACTTGCAGATTTCATGTTAAACGACATTCAGTCATGGAACATGAAAAAAAAAAAAGGAATAATTTACCATCCAGAGCTTAAAAATTGATTCCAGAAAAACCTTCTACCACAAGTTGTGCAATTGCCAAAATAATATCTGAAGAATCGTGCAGGCTCAACATTATTACTGGCGTTCAATAATGTCATCACTTAGAATATATTCCCTTTTCAACACTCAACAGGGGGAATTCCGGATCTGCAAAAATATTTGTATCATGGATCACATTCTTTATAGCTGACGCATTTGAACCCCACAAATTATAATCATTTTATAAATGATAAACAAAATAAATGTATCATAAGTCCATAGCTAAGATTTTAACCTAAAATGGAAAAACAGAACACAGGAAACAGCATTCCACTGAAATTCACTTGAATTTCTTCGATATTCAGAATATTCAATGGAATAATAGTTAGTATTGACGTTGCAAAAATTCATTAAATCACCCAAAACCATGTAAGTTTTCCAAGTCCTATTTGGATAGAAGCTAACAAAGTCACTGTTTCCTTCCCCTTCCTTTCTTTGCTGGCTGAGCTTCCATCTGTTCTTTCCCGGTAATTTCTGAGATATTCACTACAGGAAAGAGGAAGAGAAACTAATTAGACAACTTGATCAGATCAAGATCCAAAACTGAAATTAATATATGCTCAAAACATGTAGCAACTGAAATATCATACCCTTTTTTAACCATTTTAGAGCATTTTCGTATGTATAAGCAGGACTATACAGAAATTTCAAAACAATATTTTTCCACTGGTTTCACTTTATTACCATATGCTTAAATACTACTTTATTTTGCAATCATTTAAGCGCATTCTTTAATAAAATCCATTTTCAAAACAGTTTTTTTTGTTTTTAAAACCAGCAATACATAATTCTATTTCCATGACAAGGTAGCCTTAAGTAGGAAAAAGAAAGGTTTAGAGAAAGATGATACCATCTGGTCCCCGGGCCATCAAAGCAAAGAATATGTTGTTCAGTTTCTCCATCTTCTTAGCATCCTGTGCTTGGTCGGTCTTAAACTTGAGACACTGGCAAAAAGAAAACTAAAAACTGTAAGAGCTTAAAATTGTGACACAAGGATATTCAGCCATACAAGTCATCAATTTCTACTTACATATACCTCAAATACATGCAGGTCAGTGGCTTCAGGCATGCATATATGGATGCATGCACAAGGTTTGGCTTTACTGCCAATATAAATCAATCAAAGATTAATGACACAAGGGTAAACTAAGCATCTAATTGGATAAAGCTGATATCCTTCATATAAGTAAGGAAATTGTCCCCTGAGACATGAAATTTGAAGTTGAAATCTTATTTATAGTAGCTTTTAAAAACATTCTTAACATGGTAAAGCGGAAATTAAAAAATATGAATGGTAGTGTCAACACAAAATCATTCAATTACCACTCACTCAATTAAAAGGGCAATTGAATCATGCAAACATTACTAATGCCTATGGTCTAGTATAACTTCTTGCCCGTCATCTGCCTTAAGAATTCAATTAGCAAAATCTCACCACGGCAACAACACCAGGTTCAGGATTCTCCGTTAGGAAAAAAAAAAAAAAAAAAGAAGAGGATGAAATGCAGCACCTCAGATCAATAAGGAGTCCTCCAAGCACTTCAAATCACAAGGAGCTATAAAAATGTGAGAAGGCACACCAGAACTCATGTTATAAACTATAATAGTCATAGAGAAAGGCTAATCGTAATAGAAACATACGTCCACCATATAACAAATTAAAGAAACCACAGGAAATTTCCAGACAAATTCTTCTATGACATTTCATTTACTTAAATTCTCAACCTGATTTTATATATAAGCAAGTCGAGCACAGTCCATTCTCTAGCCCAGAAGCTTTCCTTAAAAGTTGCTACTTCTGTCAGACATGCCAATAAAATTGAACTTTAGGTTTCCTTCCTACGGGCAGTTTATAATTCCAGCATAAGAGATTCCCTTTTTAATTAAGTATTCAAATAAACCTCTATCAACCTTCTCCAAGGTAAATATTACCTTCACAGTGATCACCAAAGCCAATTTCTTGGTCCTAGGCTTGCCTTTCTCCGATGGAAACATGATATTCATTGCTCTCAAGAAACACAACACAAACACAAATCTGCAAACATAAATGCAGAGTTGAAAAGAACAACAAGACCATTACTGTTAACATAAGAGAAGGTTCTCTTTTGCAACTTCTCTTCTAATAACTTACTAAAAACCCAAAAACTGCTAACTAAAATGAAAAGGTTTAATTCTCATTTCCAAACACATGAATCCCAGCTTTTCCCTTCAAACAGCCATTACTTTCAGTTGCTATTGCACTCTATTAGCATTAGGGCATGACTCAAAGACATAACACAACCATGCATGAGGATCAATTAGCAAAGCTGAAACACTTTAGGATTCTACATTCTAATGGACTCAGCTCTTCTCATACATGCTGATAGATGGGATTACCAATCTAAATTGCATATGCAAGTTAACATGCTTAAGAACTCCATCTGAAATCTCTTTCTATCCAAATAACACAACCAATTAAAAATCTGTTGTACTAAGCCAGCCCAATCTCATGCCAACAATTGAAAATAAAAAAGGGATATAATAAGATTTCTTGTACAGTAAAACTAAGACAATCACACCAAAGAATGCTTACTTTTTTGGCCTTTTACCAATGCAGCAAAAGCCTACCCAGATGCCACCTAGCTACACATCTAACCATCCCAAGGAAACATGCCAACATTAACGAAGTTATTCCAAGCAAATGTATTTCTCATACAAGGCAAAACATATTAAATTTCCATCAAGTTGCAAAATGTGAAGGCATTAAAAGATAGAGTTCATAGATACATTATTCAGAAAAACAATCCATTCATAAGCACCGAATTCAGAAAACTCAAATTCATTAGCTCACAGGTCACAATCAACGTTTGACCAAATCACTAAACATAGAAATTATACTACATTCTATAGGCAAAGCTAATAAAAATTATAGACCTTAAACTCAACAAAATAAAAGACAAAGCGAATCTAGTTCTTGCCTCTTTGTTATCAGTGACCTTGAGAACCAATTTACCATCGCAATGCCGATACTTCATACAGTACCTCGTCTACATCCACAATTTCATCCAAAAATATCACAAAAAGAATAGAAAAAAATTAGCATTATTAATCAAGCAGAACAAAAGTTATCATGCAATTCGACCTATTTTCCCGAGATTAATACAGAATCTTGACATGCAAACGACGGAGTTTATCAGTTCGAAAGAAAATAAAGCATTAAATCTAGAACCATACAGATTGGGGATCCGCTCTGTACAACTGCACGGATCGTTCGACGAACTCGTCCCAGGAAGTTATGTAAACCATGGTTGTGCGGAGAGAATTGGATCGAAGAATTTGAGAATTATCAAAATCAATTGTGAATTTTGAGGTTTAGCTTTTGATGGGTATGGGCTTTACCGTTTACAATTACATGCAGTCAAGTAAATTTTTCAGGTCGATTTACTAGCCAATAAATTTCTGCCATAACAGATTGACAGTCTAGACGGGCCCCAGTTAAGTGGGACCAATGAGGACTTTTATTCTTCCTACCCAATTACATTTAGCCTTGTCAGCGATTGAACCAGTGAAATTTTCATTATGACCAGCCACAAGACGCAAAACGATGTCGTTTTTAGCTTTTTTAAGTATACATAGAAAAATTAAGTGGAGAATTATCATTTTTTAACCCCATATATTTCTTAATTTAATTAAACATCCCCACAATAAAACTCTACAAATTAATTAAAACACCCCCCCACTTTTTCAAAATCTGCCCGTTGGCCAGATCCAACCGGTTATGTGTCATTTTGACACCGACGATGGTGATCTTGGACGGATTAATTTTTAGATTGAAATGAGTGAAAGATAATTGTTTTTAGTTAAATAGAATCGGAAATATATTTTAAGTTAAATAGAATAGGATCATATAAAACAAGTACTCTCTCTTTTCATTTACAATAGAAAAAATCTTATATGATTTAGATTAATTTTCAGAATAATGATATTAATAAGTAAATAAATATATATTCTGTATTTTAATCTAAATAGGATAACAGGGAAATGATTCTAATGAGTGAAACAAACAAAGGTATTGTCATTGTTTTTTTTTTTTTCCAAGAATGCAAATCCCATTAAATTAGAAATAATATTATATTAGCAAACCATTCTCACTAATTTTTTCCCATAAACATGATATATCAACTTACAATAAATTATATCTATCTAATAATGAGTTTTATCTAACCAAATTCGAACTGTCGCGCGTTGTTCTTGTGTAAGTTGTGAGAAGTGGACTATCTTTATTCTTAAATTGGATTTGTAATGCTGACGGATGGTTGACTTTTTGACCGCTTTGTCCGTTTCTATCTCATCAGGGTTAACCGAGTTGCTTTTCGACTGTGAACTTGCAAAGCGTCCAATTGTTTATTCCTCTCTGCAAACATAAAAGTCAAAAGAAAGAAAATTTTGCAAGCAATTTGAAGTTTTTGTTAATGGACGTCTCTTATCTCCACTCTCACAAGTCACAACAACCCCACAAAGTTGCGGAACCCCGAAAAACAAACCAGAAATGGCACTTTCACTAGAGGAAGTACCATCAACTATCACAGCAACAACAAGAGAAGAAGAGAAATCTAACACCCTTGTAGAAGAAGAAGAAGAAGGAGATGAAGGTAAAGGAACGTGGAAACACGCGGCGTTCCACGTGGCCACAACCATTGCTACACCAGCTGCTTATGCTCCTTTGCCTTTTGCTCTCGCCTCTCTCGGTTGGCCCCTCGGTAATTAACTATAAATTCTCTTTTATAGGCTTATTTGTTTTCACTTTATAACTTTTTTTTTTTTTTTTTGGTTTCTGATTGAATGTTACGTAAAGGTGTGAGTAGTTTGGTGGCTGGAACGGTGGCAACATGGTATTCAAGTTTATTGATTGCCTCTTTGTGGAGATGGAATGGGAAGAAGCAAATTACTTATAGGCATCTTGCAGAGAGCATTTTTGGTTTGTGTTTTCTTCCTAATTAATTACAGATGAATGGAGTTCTTTTAATTTTTTTATATGTTGATATTTCTTGTTAATTTAATTGCTTGTTTTAGACACTCAAAATTGTTTGTGTTAATGCTTCTTTATCATCTGCAACTTTAATAAGGCAATATATGATGCTCAACAAACTCAACAAGCTGAAGACTTATTCAAAGAGGATTGAAAAATTAATACTTGGAAACATAACAACTGAGACAAATGGCCAAAGCTGATGGCCATTCAATCTATCTTCTCAATGGAAAACCCTTCCCCTGTTTTTGAGAAAACATATACTCTATTTATACAGTATAAAGAATTTAATATGCTCTAAGATTCTTCTTTCACCTAAGAAACAGTTAACATCAGATCATATTATTAGTAAAATCTTTTTTTTTCGTTTCTAAATTGGTAATTTCATGTTGTAAAATGTAGATATTCTCTATCAGTTTTTCCTTTTTGATCTAAATATCTGCCGCTTGTATTTTAGAAGATCAAATTATTACTATCTACAACGCTTTGCCTTTCCTGCCCACAATACCATAGCATAGAGCCAGAGTGAACTCCCAATCCTTTCTTAAGATATCCTGAGAATTTAATCCTAAGCCAAATTCAGCACACCGTGGATGTACTTAAGTTCAACTGTATGCAGCATGCTTGACTATAACATTCTTTTCTGTTTGTTGAAGGATTCTGGGGTTACTGGTCTATTGCATTTTTTCAACAGGTAGCTTCGCTAGGCAATAACATTGCCATTCAAATTGCTGCTGGGAGTAGCCTTAAGGTTAGATAACCTTTTCCTGCTTTTCTTCGGTTGATTGGATGAATGAAACGTACATTGCTTCATTTTACTCATTCTGGTGGTGGGTTGTTACGTTTCATATTTTGCAGGCAGTTTACAAATACTACCACAGAGATGGCACCTTAACCTTGCAGCATTTCATTATTTTCTTTGGAGCCTTTGAACTGTTCCTCTCTCAACTCCCTAATATACATTCTTTAAGATGGGTTAATGCATTGTGCACAATAAGCACCATTAGCTTTGCTGGTACAACCATTGGTGTGACAATTTATAATGGTAAAACTTTAAATTGTTTATAACTGTTTTTTATGTCTATGGATTTATAGGTTATTTCAGTTTCTTACTTCGACACATATTCTCTCCCGCTGCAACTTGTCGTTGTAGGAACAAAGATAGATAGAGAATCAATCAGTTATAGCTTGCGTGGAAGCTCCTCTTCTAAGACTTTTAAAGCATTCAATGCTCTTGGGGCAATTGCCTTCTCATTTGGAGATGCAATGCTTCCGGAAATACAGGTTTACCAAATTACTAAAGCTACTTAATCAATAATAGTCACCTTTCAATTTATTTTTCCAATCTTTCTTATCAAGTTGTTTGGAGTTCTGTTTTCTGCTGATAGTTATAGATGCATATCAAAACTGTTACCAATTTAGTAATTATTAATAACTGTTCCGGTGCCAGAATACAGTGAGGGAACCTGCAAAGAAGAATATTTACAAAGGTGTATCAGCAGCGTATAGTGTAATTATCTTGACTTACTGGCAACTGGCCTTCTGCGGATACTGGGCATTTGGATCAGAAGTACAGCCTTATATCTTGGCTTCCCTAACTATTCCAGAGTGGACAATTGTCATGGCAAATCTCTTTGCTGTGATTCAAATATCAGGGTGCTATCAGGCAGTGTACAAATGGTTCATTATCTATATTTTGCAGTACATGAATTATCGGTTTTCAGGATGAAGTGCAAGTATTTCTGAACCTGTGGAATACTTTCAGTTCTTTGCCTATTTCTTCTTAGAATATGCAATACTTTTGGCTTATGCATAGGCAGTGTGAGGGATTTCAACACTTTCGAGGGCATTCCGTGGATTCCATTTTCTTGCTAGAAAAATTGTTACCCAAATTACAACTTCCTGATTTTTATTGAACTAGATCACGTATGATGGGTTGTAATTTCTCCAAATAATCTCTGGATACAAAATCTGTTACTCTGCACCATCCATAAATTGAGTTTCTTCTTCTGATATTTGTTCTTCACTTGTGTGTTTAGATATACTGCAGGCCAACTTATGCCTACTTTGAGGAAACAATGCTATCAAACAAGTCTACTAGCCAATTCACCTTGAAAACTTGCTTCATCCGTCTTACTTATACCTCCATTTACATCGTTCTTATTAGCCTTGTCGCTGCAGCCATGCCATTTTTCGGGGATTTTGTGTCCATATGTGGCGCCATCGGGTTCACTCCCCTCGACTTCGTTTTCCCTGCTGTAGCATATCTGAAAGCTGGAAGAATGCCTAAACACACAACACTCCGGCGCCCAATACAGCTTCTTAATAGCATGATAGCTACCTGGTTCTCCGTTGTTGCAATATTGGGTTGCATTGGTGCAGTAAGATTAATCATAGAAGACATCAAGACATACAAGTTCTTTCATGATATGTAAAGCTTGAGGTTGATGCATTGGGAACTCTAAAAGTATTTGTGAAGCTGAAAACAGAGCTTAAAGGAAAACACACATGTACACTAGTTTATTTTGTTAGCTTTGCCTCTACATGAAAGATTGTGATGGAACCACCTGTTCAATTAACTCAATCCAACCACAACACACAAGAGTAGAAATGAAAGTAACACACAATTTGATAAAACTGATTGTTATTATTGAATACTGAAAGAAATAGCAACATCCAGAAAGAGTGACCACAGATCAATCCCTAGCAATTCGAGGAGCTGGGAGCATCCCAAAATACCAATAAGAATTTACTTGATACCTCCTTTACCACTCTCTAGCTATTTATACCTAAATACTTACTAAACTAACCTTACTCTAACAAACTTTATTCTATCCAGCAACTTGCATGCAAAATCCCGTAACAAACTTTCACTCACACTCATTTCACTCATTAGCCCTTAGTGCTCTTTTTACGACCCCTCAACTTATAGACCATATTAACGGGAGGTGGTCTATCAATACAGCCCCCGCCCCCGAGGAGAGCCACCTTGTCCTCAAGGTGGAATTGAGAAAATTGTGTATTGATGACGTCGAAAGACTCCCATGTAGCATCAAAGGAGGGCAAATTCTTCCATTGACTGAGGACCTCTTTGGTGCCATCAAGTAGGGACTGCATCGCTAGGACTGACTGTGGATGAACCTGGAGTTCCATATCTTCGGTGAGAAAAGTGGGAAGTGGTTGAACTGGAACGGAGTTGTGTAGGCTGCGTTTGAGCTGGGACACATGGAACACTGGATGAATACGAGCACTAGAGGGTAGAGCCAGTTTGTAAGCTGTCAGACCAATTCTGTCCACCACCTTAAATGGCCCATAAAACCTAGGACTGAGTTTCTCATTCAGTTTCCTGGCTAACGACCTGAGCCTGTAGGGCCGAAGTTTGAGGTAAACAAAATCTCCCAAAGAGAAGCTGATATCTCTGCGATGTTTATCAGCCTGCTCTTTCATGTGTCCTTGAGCAGATTCCAAGTGATGTTTAAGTTCATTTATGATGGCATTGCGGTGAAGGAGTTGTTGGTTCACATCTTCAACCGAGGAGGGGTAATGGGTCAGCTTGAGAAGGAGTGGTGGGTCTCTGCCATAAAAGGCCTTGAAGGGTGTCATTTTAGTGGACCGATGGTACGTTGTGTTGTACCAAAATTTCACCCAAGAGAGCCAATTTGGCCACTGTTTAGGCTGGGAACCGCAAAAATATCTCAGATATGCCTCTAAACACCACTTCGGTTTTGCCATCCATTTGTGGGTGGTATGCGGAACTGAACTGAACTGAACTTAAGAGAAGTCCTCGATGCTCTGAAGATTTCCTGCCAGAATTGGCTCATAAAGAGTCGATCTCGATCCGAAACTATAGACTTGGGAAATCCATGGAGCTTAACAATTTCCTTCATGAACATCGTAGCAACCTCGTTCGCACTAAAAGGTTAAGACAAGAGGATAAAGTGGCCGTATTTGGTGAGCCGATCAACCACCACGAGGATACTATCAAACCCCTTGGCTCGTGGGAAACCTCCAATAAAATTCATCGTCAAAGTTGTCAAAGACTTGCTTAGGTATAGGCAAAGGCTGTAAAAGCTCGGCTGGCTTGAGGGCTGAATACTTATTGACTTAGCAAATAGTGCAAGCCTTTACAAACTCTTGAACATCCTGCCTTATCCCTTCCCAATAAACAATGTTTGCCACCAGTTTGTAAGTCTTGAAAAACCCTGAATGCCCTCCACCTAGGTTGGAATGAAATTCTGCCAAAAGTTTAGCTATGAATCTGGAGCCTTTTGGTAAAACAATTCTGTTTTTGTACAAAAGACATCCCTACCTAAGTCTGTAGTGTGGGCGACTGTTGGGGTCAAAGAGAAGGTCCTGAATGATACGCTGCAACTTGGGATCTTGTTGTGCTTCACTGGCTAAATCTTCATATTCTATAAACTGTACTACTGAAATGGTGTTCAAATCTAGTCCCTCCACTTTTCGTGATAAAGCATTTGCCACCTTGTTTGTTTTTCCCGGCTAGTAGTGAATGTCGAAAGAGAACCCCATTAGTTTGGACAGCCACTTTTGTTGTTCAGGAGTTTTAATTTGCTAGTCAGTGAGAAATTGCAGACTTCTTTGGTCAGTTTTGATGACGAATTGTTTGCCCAATAGATACGGGCTCCACTTATGCACTGCAAAAACGATTGCCATTAGTTCTCGTTCATATACTAACTTCTATTTTGCTTGTGGCGAAAAGGCTTTGCTTAGGTAAGCTATGGGTCTGGACTGTTAGGGACCAAAATTGCTCCCATTCCATGACCTAAAGCATCAGTCTACACTTCAAAGGGAAGTGCAAAGTTTGGAACTACTAAGATTGGAACCATAGTCATAGCTTCCTTGAGTCTATCAAAAGCCATTTGTGCTCCCTCATTCCAACTAAATGAATCTTTTTTAAGCAAATCCGTAAGTGGTTATGCAATACTACCATACCCCTTGACAAATCTCCGGTAATATCCCGTAAGGCCTAAAAATCCCCGTAGACCTTTCACATTGGTCGGAACAGGCCACTTAACCATTGCCTCAATCTTGTGTGGGTTTGCTTCCACTCCCTACACTGAAATTATATGGCCTAAATAGTCTAGTTTTTGTTGACCGAACAAGCACTTCTTCCTGTTCATTACCAGTTCGTTGTCTTGTAGAATCTTAAGGGCTTGTTCGAGATGAATCACATGGGAATTAAGATCAAGACTGTAAATCAAAATATCATCAAAGAAGACCAGCACAAATTTCCTCAAAACAGGTTTAAAAATAGCATTCATTAGGGCTTGAAAAGTTGACAGTGCATTAGTTAGGCCAAATGTCATAACTAGGAACTCATAGTGACTGTCATGAGTTTGGAAGGCCGTTTTGTGAATATCCTCCTCTTTCAATCGAATCTGGTGGTATCCAGATCATAAATCAAGATTCGAAAAGAAAACAGCCCCAACTAATTCATCTAACAACTCCTCGATAGTGGGTATGGGAAACTTATCAGGGATAGTTATATCATTGAGTGCCTTATAATCAACACAAAACATCCAGCTCCCATCCTTCTTCTTGACTAGTAACACTATGCTGGCAAAAAGGCTGGTGCTAGGCTGAATGATCACTGCTACCAACATTTCTCCCACCATTTTCTCTATTTCATTTTTCTGGAAATAAAGATATCTATAACGTCATTTATTGGGTGGTCGAGCTCCCTCTGGCAGGACTATGGCATGGTCATGCTGTCAGTATGGGGGTAGTTTAGTTGGTTGGTCAAACAATTGGTTATACCCTTCCATCAATGATACAATCCTAAGGTCGGTGGGTTCTCCATTTTGTTCTGGCACACATTCAGTAGAGCAAAATTTGACTAAATAGCCTCCTCCGGTGGAATAGAGTGACCTTAACATGGCTTTTAGAGATACCACCGTCTTAACTAGGGATGGATCTCCCTGTAGGCTCAACCTTCTGCCTCCCAACTCAAATTTCATCGTCAGGTTCTTCCAATTTGTGCAAACATCACCCAATGAACTCAACCACGTCACCGTTAATACCACATCAGCTCCACCCAAATCAAAAGGGAAAAAATCTTGGGTAATCTTAACGCCTTAGACCTCCAGTTGCACTCCCCTGCAAACACCTTCTCCTCTCACCGTGACACCATTACCTACCATCACCCCAAACCTTTTTCCTTTTTTCAATTTGCATGCCCAGTTTGTGCTCCAAGTCGTGCGAAATAAAATTGTGGGATGCCCCACTGTCAACCAACACAATAACCCCCACCCCTTCAATCTCTCCCTTAATTTTCAGAGTCTTATCAAAGGTGATTCCGACAATAGATTTCATGGATAAAGCTAGAGGGTTACCTTTAGTAGTGGGTTCTTCATCATTGTTTGGTGGTGTTTTGCTCTTCTCTGGATCATCATCTTCCCATGCCAGCAAGATCTGCAGAGATTTGCTCCTACATCGGTGGTTAGGGCTAAACTTTTCGTCACACCTAAAACAAAGCCCCTTCTCCCTTCTGAGTTGAATTTTTGCTTCAATTAACCTTCGGAAATTTTTCCCTCTAGAGCTCGAAGCTGTCGTCGTCGGTGGAATATCCCTCCTATCGACATAACGATTTGACGAAGAATGGGTCTCGCCTGAGATTTTAGTGGTATTGGACCACCAATTGGGTCACCCAACCTCTGGGCTTGGAGAGACCCCTGAGTACCCTTCAATTTTTACATTATGAGTTTTAGTCATTTTGGGCCTAATTTTATCAAGCACCCAGTTTTTTTCTTCAACTCGATGGGCCTGTTCCATCACTTCCCCCAGATCTTTGGACTGTATGAGACGCAATTCAGCTTTGATTTCTTCCTTCAGTCCATTTACAAAGATACCCATTAGCATCTCTTCTCCCAATTCCTTCAACGGAGCTGTATGTGCTTCAAATTCTTCGCGATACTCTATCACCGATACAATCTGTCTCAGTGCTACCAATGCCTCATAGGCTATCCCTTGAAAGGATGGTCTGAATCTGGCAATTAAAGCAGCTTTGAAATCCTTCCAATTTTGGAATGGTCTCCGAGATTCAAGCCATTGATACCAATTTAAGGCTCTTCCTTCCATGCACATGGCGGCGGCCTCCACCATTTCCTTTTCTTCGTATCGATTAATGGCGAAATATGTGTCAGCCTTGAAAGTCCAGCCAAAAGGATCATCTCAGTTAAAAATGGGTTGCTCGAGTTCGCGAATTTTTTTGTCGTCCTTCCCGTTATCCCCACTGTGATTTCATTCATATCCCTTATCTCCGCCGGAACTTTGATTTTCTGGAGTTACAAACATTTTCTCCTTCTCCTGATAACGTTTCTCCTCCCTTTCCTCCCTTAACCTCATCAATTCTCGCATCTCAATTAAGTACTCCTTGACACTACCTAAGTCGGTCTTCATCATGCCCATATCTTCCTTCACGGTTCTCATTTCCTTTTCCACATTTTCCATTCTGTTCTCTATTTTGGATTTTACCATTACCCAACCTAGCTTTGATACCAAGT